GGTAAATTGACAGTTAGAAGGTATATTAGATAGTTTTACCCACCCAGACTCCCGGGTTGTATTGGGGTCCATGTGAAGCATCTCGGCAATTTTTATTTCCGGATCTTAAAAAGTGAAAAATTGTCCAAAATTGAAGGCTATAATACACGAAATCGGTGCAATTTAGTAGTTGTCCGGACTCACTGTCAAAAATTTACGGAATTTTACGGAATGCATACCGAGGTCATATAATGTTGTTTGGACCCATATACAACCATAAGTCGGTTACATAAAGGCCCCGTGAAAGCTTATATCCAATACAAGTTGCGTGTACGGAAATTGGTAAATTGGATGCTTAAAGGCAAATTATATGGTTTCACCCACCCAATTGGACTCTCGGAGGATATTAGAGTTTATGGGTAGCATTTAACAATTTTTATTTTCGGGTAAAAAAAAATAAAAAATTGGCAAAATTGAAAGCTATAATATACGCTTTTTGGCCAACTTCAAAGGTTTCGGGTCCTAGTGTCAAAAAGTCTCAAGATACCAGGAGATACATCCCAGGGTCATGCAATGTCGTTTGAAATCATATATGATCATTATATGTTGCCATCAATATCCGTGGTAACCTCGAGCTTATGAAATCGGTGTAAGTTGTAAACGGGTAAATTGAGAATGTAAAGGTATATTTGATGGTTTTACCAATTCAAATGAACGCCAGGGGTGTATTACGATCCTTGGGAAGCATCTCGGCCATTTTTTATTTCTTGGTCTAAAAATTGAAAAAAATTCCAAAATTAAAGGATATTATATACGAAATCGGAGCAATTTAGTAGGTGTCCGGATCCGGTATCAGAAATAGACGGAATTTTACAGGATGCATCCCGAGTTCATATGATGTTGTTTGGACCCATATACAGCCATAAGTAGGCTACATAAAGGCCCCGTGAAAGCTTATAGCCAATACATGTGGCGTGTACGGAAACTGGTAAATTGAATGCTTAAAAGAAAATTGGATGGTTTCACACACTTAATTGGACTTCCGTAGGGTATTAGGGTCTATAGGAAGCTTCTCGGCAATTTTTGTTTCCAGGTAAAAAAAAAAAAAAAAAAAAAGACAAAAATTGGCAAAATTAAAGGCGCTATAATACACGCTTTTTGGCCAATTTTAGAGATTTTGGGACCCGAAGCCGAAATATCTAGAGATATCAGGGGATACATCATAGGGTCATATAATATCGTTTGAAACCATATATGATCATTATATGTTGCCATGAATGTCCGTAGTAGTCTCGAGTTTATGAAATAGGTGCAAGTTGTAAACGGGTAAATTAACATTTAGAAGGTATATTGGATGGTTTTACCCACCCAGACTCCCAGGTTGTATTGGGGTCCATGTGAAGCATCTCGGCAATTTTATTTTCGGATCTAAAAAAGTGAAAAATTGTCCAAAATTTAAGGATATAATACACGAAATCGGTGCAATTTAGTAGCTTCTCGGCAATTTTTGTTTCCGGGTCATAAAAAGTAAAAAATTGGCAAAATTAAAGGATATAATACACGCTTTTTTGACCAATTTTAGAGGTTTCGGAACCCGGTGTCGAAAAGTCTTGAGATATTAGGGAATACATCCCAGGGTCATATAATGTCGTTTGATTGGTTTGAAACCATATATGATCATTTTATGTTTCCATAAATGTCTGTGATAGCCTCGAGTTTATGAAATCGGTGCAAGTTGTAAACGGGTAAATTGACAGTTTGAAGGTATATTGGATGGTTTTACCCACCCAAATGGACTTTCGGGATGTATTAGGTTCCATGAGAAGCATCTCGTCAATTTTTATTTTCGGGTCTAAAAAAGTGAAAAATTGTCCAAAATTAAAGGCTATAATACACGAAATCGGAGCAATTTAGTAGGTGTCGGGACCCGGTGTCAGAAATTCACGACATTTTACAGGCTGCATCCCGAGGTCATATGATGTTGTTTGGACCCATATACAACCATAAGTCGGCTACACAAAGGCCCCGTGAAAGCTTATAACCAATAAAAGTGTAGTGTACAGAAACTGATAAATTGGATCTTAAAGGCAAATTGGATGGTTTCACCCACCCAATTGGACTCCCGTAGTGTATTAGGGTTTATAGGTAGCTTCTCGACAATTTTTTTTCCAGATAAAAAATGTCAAAAATTTGGCAAAATTGAAGGCTATACACGCTTTTTGGCCAATTTCAGAGGTTTCGGGTCACGGTGTCGAAAATTCTCGAGATACTAAGGGATACATCCTAGGGTCATATAATGTCGTTTGAAACAATATATGGTTAATATATGTTGCCATAAATGTCCGTGGTAGCCTCGATTTTATGAAATCGGTGCAAGTTATAAACGGGTAAATTGACAGTTTGAAGGTATATTAAATGGTTTTACCCACCCAAATGGACTCTCGGAATGTATTAGGGTCCATGGAAATCATATCGGTAAATTTTATTGCCGGGTCTAAAAAAGTGAAAAATTGTCCAAAAATACACGAAATCGGAGCAATTTAGTAGGTATCCGGACAAGGTGTCAGAAATTCACGGAATTTTACGTGATGCCTTTCGAGGTCACATTATGTTGTTTGGACCCATATACAACCATAAGTCGGCTACATAAAGGCCCCGTGAAAGCATATAGCCAATACAAGTGGCGTGTACGGAAACTTGTAAATTGGATGCTTAAAGGAAAATTGGATGGTTTCACCCACCCAATTGGACTCCCATAGTGTATTAGGGTTTATAGGTAGCTTCTCGGCAAAAAAAATTTCGGGTCAGAAAAAGTAAAAAAATAGGCAAAATTGAAGGTTATAAATACACGCTTTTTGGCCAATTTTAGAGGTTTCGGGATCTGGTGTCGAAAATTCTCGATATACCAAGGGATACATTCCAGGGTCATATAATGTTGTTTGAAACCATATATGATCATTATATGTTTCCATAAATGTTCGTGGTAGCTTTGAGTTTATGAAATCGGTGCAAGTTCTAAAGGGGTAAATTGACAGTTAGAAGGTATAGTGGATGGTTTTACCCACCCAAATGGACTCACGGGTTGTATTAGGGTCCATGTGAAGCATCTCGACATTATTTATTTCCGGGTCTGAAAAATTGTCCAAAATTGAAGGATTATACACGAAATCGGAGCAATTTAGTAGGTGTCCGGACCTGGTGTTTGAAATTCACGGAATTTTACGAGATGCATCCTGAGGTCATATGATGTTGTTTGGACCCATATACAACCATAATTGGGCTACAGAAAGGCCCCGTGAAAGCTTATAGTCAATACAAGTGGCGTGTACGAAAACTGGTAAATTGGATGGTTTCACCCACCTAATTAGACTCCCGTAGTGTATTAGGGTCTATAGGTAGCTTCTTGACAATTTTTTTTCCAGATAAAAAAATGTCAAAAAATTGGCAAATCTGAAGCTACCTATAGACCCTAATACACTACGGGAATCATATAATGTCGTCTTAAACCATATATGATCATTATATGTTGCCATAAATGTCGTGGTAGCCTATGAAATCGGTGGAAGTTGTAAACGGGTAAATTGATAGTTTGAAGGTATATTGGATTGTTTTACACTTTTACCCATCCAAATGGACTCCCGGGGTGCATTAGGGCCCATGGGAAGCATCTCGGCAATTTTTATTTTCGGGTCTAAAAAAGTAAAAAATTGTCCAATATTGAAGGTTGTACATACGCAGCACGTCCTACATTCATTATTATTGAAGGCTTTGAAGCATTATATTCTGTAATGTAAAATTCAGCCAATTTTGATCTTTCATTTATACAAATTAGATATTTGAAAAAAAAAAAACAAAAAAAAAAAAAAAAAACAAATAAAAACCCTGATATGTAATTTGTTGGATTAGCCTCAAATCTCTCAATGCATAAATTATGTGTTAGCAAGCTTAAGATCAAAATGTTGCAACAACAAATGAACGAAAGAAGTGTTCATCTATACAAATGATGAAAAGGAGCATAATTTGAAGGAGATTTTTTTTTCCCCTTAAAGAGCCATTGAATAGAAAGACGTATAAATATAATTGAAAAAAAATGTGAAATTCTATGTTTATACCCGCAAGATGATTAATTTTTGCAGGACTATAAATATAAGATGCATTCAAAGTTAATTTTTGCTCATTTGATAATTAAATAAGCAATAATCATCCTTTAATCATCATAAAGAGTCATTGATCCTTCAAAAAAAAAAAAAAAATCATAAAGAGTCATTGAATAGAAAAACGTATATTCAAATGTACTTTGTATCTGGGCGTATACAACAACCTTTACAAATATTGTGTATCACCACCCGACATTTTAAGTTTTTAACTAACAAAGGTTAATATGACAGATTGGATGGTGTCTACTAACAGTGCATTTTGCAAAACATAATCAGTTGAATAATAAAATAAGGCTTAGGTCTTGTTTTCGTTACCATAATGATAGCTTGGGAGCAAAAATGTGAATGTGTGACTAGAGAGAGCTAAGGTTATCGATAATGGGCTTAACGTGAGAACCCAATTCGACATGATATCTTTACTCTTTAGTTGTTGCATGGAAGTTGTGAACAAGATTAATCGGAAGTAAAATGACAATTTTTTAAAAATATATCACCATCAAAGATGTTCTAACTTTTGGTAATTGCTTTGATATTGTTTTCTTTTGTCACATGTTTATGGAGTCTAATGAAGCGGCACATGTGATCATTAGATTTTTCTAGTTACGGTTGTACTTAAGTAGTTGATTTCCTTAGCTTAATGATATAATTACTGCCGATTTTTGTTCAAGAGTTAATGGATAGGTCGCAATTCACAGTATCAATGCGATAGTTAACTTTGGATCGGGCTAAATATAATTAATCTGCGAAACAACTATTGAAAATTTACAAATCTAAAAAAATAAAGAGAAAATTGAATTCCAGAACCATTCCTTTGAGAAATGAACAAAATTGACAACATGGGGATGGGGATTAGGTAGATCTGAATAAATAGAATAGAATGGAATTGTATAATATAAGCTCAATAATAAATAAAGTAATAGTACAATCAATGTATATAGCTCAATTTGTCTAATTATGATCCCGTGATATTAGTTGGACATGAGCTTGTAAATGAATAAAAAATTCATCAACACCAAAAAATAAAGAAGAGAATCAGAGATCGAGTGAGAGAAAGAAGAAACTAATCTATATTTAGAAAACTTTAAAAAAGAAGCATAGCAGCGCATCCGAATGCTAAGCTGACCACCAATTTAGTTGCCCATGTGATCTCTCCACTCTGCCAATTTTGGATTTAAAACAACATTAGTAATTAATTAACTATAAAACACATGATTAAAATATTGCCATAAATTAAAGAATTAGCTACTTGTTTGACAAAATCAGTAATTAATTTGGTGTATTCATTGACTTTTTTTTCATTCCAACACAACATTTTAGATTTTTAGGGATTTGTACATAAGTTTAACTTGTACTCTAGTATTTCACATTGAATTATTAGGTTTTGAAATCATCAATTTGCTATTGTCATATAGTGAGAGTACTACATCACACGCGGATACTCCACACAATCAATGTTATTGTATAATTAAGTACATTGTCCAAATTGAGCTCAACTCCATATTCGCTATTGAACCTAACTCTCAAAATGATCAGGAAAACTCAAAACCCTAAACATACTTGATACTCTAATAAAATTTTCAGCTAAAAATCATTCAAGCTCATTAATGAATGATTTGATGTGATAATAAACAAAAGTATAAATTAAAGGTATGTAGTATTTGTAGTGGTTCAGTTCTAACGGCTATATATTTGACACGCTAATAGCCTACCAACTATTACTCATATAGAGACTTTATATTACCTCTGTTAACTACTATGTACAACAAAGGGGTATTATTTGTAAGACATAAAATATTTCTTTGTTGCACATAATAATTAACGGATGTAGTAATTCAACGGTGAATTATAGATCAAGTTGACATTTGTATTAAATGGTTGCATAATTTGATAATTTTATTATTCATTTTTTTTTAACAGTCATTTAATAGAAACAAAAATAATCACATGTATAAAATGATTATTACCTATTTATCCAGTTAATTTTTGTGGCACACAATTGTGAATGTGTGAGTAACATTTTATATGATGGACATTTTATATTGGGCTGGGGCATCTTTCTTTACACATGTAAGGATATGAAATTTTGAAGATAATTTTAACAACTTATTTATTTTTCTCTTTAATTGAAAAAGTGAGTGGTGAAAATTAGAATTATAAGCTTTTTCCCATAAATGGACACCAGCTTTCTCCACTATTATTCCTATTGTGGCATTACATGAATTGTCTTGGGCATATATGAATCACGATATCACCTATAATTGTCAATTGACATTATTTAAGAATGTACCGAAAAAGTTGCTCCAATTTATGATATACTTAATTCATTGAAATTGTGATCATTAGCAAGCTGAGTAATACTGTAAATATTTCAATTAATGATAAATTAGTTTTAATATAAGTGATTAATTCATACTCAATGATAAATAAAAAGCACAACTAAAAACAAAAGAAAAGTGAATGCTTAATAGTCAAGTAAAATGGAGTGGAGTACTTACCGAAGTATCATCCTCAGAAGGACCAGGACCGTAATCGTCAAAGCCGCCGTTAGGTCCAGGAGCCTCAGTTGGCGGCGCAGGTGGGCTTAGAAGCTCAGCTGGAGCCGGAGCCGGTGTTGCGGCGTGATGCTTCTTACAATGCTTCTTATTCTTGAATTTACAGTGGTACGGAGGTGGAGCGTGATGCTTCTCAGGTGCCGGAGCCGGAGCTTCCACAGTAGTTGGTGGAGCCGCCTCTGGAACCGGAGCCGGCGCCTCTGGTGGTGGAGCTGGCGGCGAACTCTCAGGCGCTTTAGCCGGTGCCTTGGCTGGCGCTTTAGCCGGTGCTTTGGCTGGCGCTTTAGCCGGTGCTTTGGCTGGTGCCTTAGCCGGTGCTTTGGCTGGTGCCTTAGCCGGTGCTTTGGCTGGCGCTTTAGCCGGGGTTTTAGCGGCTGGAGATGGAGCTTCGGATGGAGTTTCTGAGATTACTGGAGCTGCAGCTGGAGCTTTTTCTGGAGCCGGTGATTTGGGCTTGGAAGGAGCTGGAGCAGCTGGTGTAGGTGAATCGGCGGCTTTGGTTGGAGAATTGGCGGCTTTGGTGGGGGCATCGGCGGCTGGAGCCGGGGATTTAGAGGGGGAAGAGGCGGGAGATTGGGCGGTGGCGTGAGATACAATCAATAATAGTAATGCGAGAGAGGAGATGTTTTTAATGAGAGCCATTGTTGAAGGGGAGAGGAGAGAGAGAGAGAGTGGTGAGAAAGGTGGAAGGAGAAGAGAGAATAAATAGCCGTTTGCTTTGGGAGGTAAAGAGGAGTATGATTTTCTAAAACAAAATTAAAAATGAGGAAAATAGAGATGGAAGGAGGGCCCACGCGCGAGAAAGAAAGAAACAAGAGAATATAGGCTGTGATAGTGTCGGTCACCAAAGTGGTCGGAGTGTGTGATTAGGGCTTTAATTTTAATACTTCCTCCGTGACCAAAACGGGTATACTTCCCCTGTTCCTTTGTATATCATCCGTAATGTTTGTTTTTTGATTTTTGATTGATGAGAGTTAATTTATGAGAAAAGTATTGCAATCTCGGTATCTTCGGATTACAATCTTTTGCAATCTATAGTATGGAGTAAATTTAAAAGAAACAACTTAAAAAGTAAAGTGGCTTAAACATTAAGAGACAAATAGAGCAATTGGAATTGAAACTAAAGGCCTATTCTCATACGTTATTTTCTGTTTAGTTTAGTTTATTTTAGTTCAGTTCAGCTACTAATTTCCTTCTCTTAGAAAATATTCATTTCAATTCAGTTCAGCTACTAATTTCCTTCTCTTAGAAAATATTCATTTCACTTCGATTCAGCTCAGCTTCTAATTTCCTAATTTTCGAATCCAATTTCAAATACCTTTTTTTTTTCTCATACATATGACATAATGAATTATAGGCTACTTAATTGTGGTTGAGATGCATGTGATAAACAGATAATACTCGAATAAGGATAGTGAGGTCTTTATTGTACAATATTTGTTGTGTGGCGGAGGGGGGAAGACTGAAATGGACGTCGCCGCGTCTATAACTTGCCTGGAATTCGGCGGACTTGCTTCTTTTCCAGGTCAAAGTATCAAGAGATTTGGTGGTGAGATCTTTGAGTTTGGATTATCAAATTATTTTATTGTAATCGAAGCTTCTCCATCATTATTCCAATTTTGTACTAGTACTATGAAGGTATTTGATGACAAAGTACATTAATAATACTGTAAGACACTATGATGGAGTTTTCCGGAGTAGTAATATACGAGGAATAATTAATCTCAAAGAGTATAATCTTCCTAATCCAACGGAATGTTCTTGAAAAGAATTTCTATTACGGTGTGATTACGTTCTACTCCGTAACCTCTCTAGGTTTTTTATTTCATTATTTTTTAAATGGATTTCACGCTTCATTTATAAAATGAATTGTAAATTTTAAGGAGAAAGGTGAGTAATGAGATTTCGGGCGTAGAAGGTAGAGGGTAGAGATAGAACCAATTGAATATAAAATTCCATTATTAAAAAACTCAATCAAATCAAAAAATAAATGAAATGGGTTATAACTCCATTGTAACCTTTTCCAAATGATTCAACCAAACGACTCCTAAGGTCCATACTTCAAACAGATTTTTTCGATCACTACTAGATATATGTGATTCATCAAATTATACTCTTGTTTTTGAAAATTCTTTAACAGTTAATTATTACGGAGTACTACTTTATTTTTTGTTTCACTATAAAAATTTAACGATTAACATCACTACATCTATTAATAAAATATTATGAATATAATTATTTATGCACGAACTGCTATTAGAGTGAAATTTAAAAAATAGTGTCAAAAATCAAAGTTAAATATGTTAAAAAATGAAGCAAATAACATATAGTACCAATAAAGTGTTGACTCATTTGGTAAGGTTCTTATTAGAGGTTTGGGTTTCGAGTCCTATCAGGTGAGGGTAGGGATTCTCTTACGCTCCTTTGTACTCCCAAATACCTGGTCCATATATACTGAACTAAAAAAAATTGTGAGAGTTGAGGTCTAATTATGGTCCTCCTTACCAGTAAAAAAACAAAGTAATACATACTACCTTCGTTTTTTTTAGTTGACACGTTTTGACTTTAGCACTATTCACACTCCCCTTTGACCGTGTTTTGTGGTTTATCATAATGAAAAATATACATGATTGCTAAACGCAACCTCTAGTTACTACTATACACCCCTCTTAAATACCATAAATACCCTTCTAAGCTAAAATCATCTTCACGACATTTTGCCTGCTTTCTTTTCCACCTTCTTCCACACCTAATTTCCAGAAATTTATACCTTTGTTTATTTGAATTACTTACATAATCAATTAGCGAACAATATTCCGAGATCTAATGAATATGAACACGAATCGGATGAAGTCGGGTGACACACGAAATAGGCTCAGTCATTTTATACAATTTGAACGAAATATAAAAAAAGTGTTTTTTTTTTTTTTTTTTTTTTAAGGATGAAAAGTGGTTTTATTGATTCTACACATAATAGATTCGTATGATTCTTATCAAATTCGAAGAGGCTAATGTAAAAATCATTACCCATTGCAAATTCAATGTATTTTAAGTTAAATTAATGCACTCTTGTTATTAGAGATTACTTGAGAGGGAAAAAAATAAAATGGTTATTTTTTCCCTACATCTAATAAATGAGTGGAATAGAGGCTGCAGTACTGCGCTGAGTAAAGTCAGGTTATGTGGGATCTTGTTAGATTCGTCATGATATATATTTTCAAAATATCAAATTCCATAGTTTTGGCTTATTTGTAATTAAAGAATATGAATGGTTGAAGTTGTGCGTTAGCAAACGTGACTATAAAAACGTGTCAACTAAAAAGAAACGGAGAAAGTAATAAAAAGATTAGAAGAGAAAAAAAAAATGTAGTACGATGAATTAATCAGGAAGCTATGATTATAATTGGCTAATTTGTATAATTAGTGATGAGTTAATTGATTATTGTTAGAGTGGGTCAAGGTACGCAAAGCTGGAGCCAAGCTGGTGATTAATAAGAGCGGACAGCTGTTTAAACGTCAAATCAAATTGCACACATAATAACCTTTTGTATTTAGTTAACGGCTGGCAATTGAGCTGCTAGCTATTACGGTAGCTTATTTGGATTTACGTTCTTTGAGTTGAAGCACTTAAAGACCGAAGCAGTAGTAAACTACGAGTAGCTAGCAATGTACTGACCTTAAAGCTAAGGTGAGCCTTTTGTGGGGGCATTGTCTTGTAGTTGCTCAATCTCTTTCAACCTTATTGTGTCGCGCTGCCTATATATGTATATAATAAAGTATTTATATAACCGTTGCCTAACGTTTTAGAAATTATATTAGGCTCCTGTACCATCATCACATGTTATGTGCGTTAGTTTAATTGGAATAATGACCAAATTCATTTATATTACATTTTCTTACATAAACATAAATGATGTTCCGTTACATATTATTTGCAACGATTAGACATTTTTGCTCTCTACTCTATATCAAATCGTTGCAAATAATATGTAACGGAGGTAGTATTACGAGTATTATTTTAGTGCCTTCAAATGATGTAAGTATTGATGGAGAATATATTACAAATAACTTTAAACAAAATTAAATTTATAATTACACTGTAATAAGTTTAGATTAGTTAAGACTTAGGATGACTATTATGGAATGGAAAGGTAAAAAAAAAAAAAAATGAATGAAGAGAATACACATTGTCCTTATCTACTCAAGTCCTGTCTAAGGAATTTTAAAACTATGTAATAACATTGAATTTTGCTCTTATTTTTAAAAAATTATAAACAAGTGTGCTAAATTTGAATAATTTATAAGTTATCGTTATGATTCTTATGAAATTAAACTCGATAATTGGAGTAGCTAGCTATATCTCATATGGAGTGCCACAAATTATAGTTATATACATCCATAGGGCATATATGTTTATATGTTTATATTTATCGAATTGAGCTGAATTGAACTGATTGGAGCTAAAATGAATGAAATTGAATTGAAATTAAGCTGAAGTGAATATGCCCGTAATTGAAAATTGAAAATTTATTTTATTTTATGCTAATCAAAGTGAAGATAGTCAATATGCTTTATTCTTAAGAAATATATTATTGTAGACTAACCCTTGCGTCAAACATACGAAGAAAGTAAAAAAAGTATAAATCATTCGTTGAATGAAAAAAAAAAAAAACAGTGTGATTAAGTAACCATGATAATGATGTATGCTGAAATCCTGTAATAACATGATTGGATAAGATGAAAATTCGAACCCAATCTTTGCTAAATGAACACATAAAAAATATATGCATAAACTTTAGTGCATGCGAAAATATATATACAATCACGCTTCAATAGCTTACTTTATATAAAAAGGTTGATGAGGTGTTAGCCTATCATTTAGCTCATTAATCTTTAGACTTCAGGGTGAAGTAAGAGAGGCTTGTAGGCTGAAGAGAACTTTGGAATGAAGAAAATAAAGCTATTGGATGGAATATAAAGTACCATGCACAAACATAATATTACTATACAATGGATCTTAACTTAAAAGCATGTCTTCTTTGTGCTAAACTTGGCTTACTAATCAGTGGCGGACTTGGGCTTAGACCTGGTGGGTCAAGTGACTCACCAGGCCCAAAAAAAAATTTTAAGTTATTTAAAAAAAAAAAAAAAAAAAAAAAAAAAAAAAAAATTAAAATCAGTTACAGGAGACTTCAAGGCTTTCAAGCCCTAGCCTCTTCGTGCTCTGGCTTCTCCTTCTCCGCCTAATCGCCTCCATTCTTCTCTTCGTGAATCGTGAGTCGTGACTTCTCCTTCTCCGCCTAATCGCCTCCATTGTTAATCGCCTCATCTCCATTCTTCTGTTCGTGACTTCGCGTCCGAGGTTGTGGAAGATGACTTTCCCATCGTCACATTTATCAGGTTCGATCTTGTTTCTCTCTCTTGATTTAGTTTCAAATTTTTGGGTTTGATTGTCGTGGATTTTTGCATATATGTTCCTGTTGTTTTCGACATGTTCAATGTGTATTCGAATTTTTTTGGTTCAATCTTTGTGGGTGTATTTCAGCAAAATCGCTTCGTTTTTATTGGGGTTTATTTGATCATTATTTGTTTTCGATTTTTTGGCTTTATTTGGTCGATTGGTTTTCGATTATTTTGGGGTTTATTTGATCGATTTGTTTTCGATTTTTTGACTTTATTTGGTCGATTGGCTTTCGATTGTTTTGGGGTTTATTTGATTGATTTGTTTTCGATTTTTTTGTCTTTATTTGTTCAATTGGTTTTCGATTATTTTAGGCATCATCCAATATTCTTTTTTTAGTCAATCATAATTAGAAAAATATTTGATATCTTAGAAAAACAGGTCATTGGCTGCAAATTAGGGTATGAAACTTGGTATTCAAATACTTTAATGTTCCTGCTTCTTTATTTGATTGTCATTTTGAATAGAATTGTGCTAATTAATCATCTAATGATTCACTCCGCTTATTGTGCTTCCCATCCTTAAGTATGTAGACATTTGATTATTTATTTCCCATTAAAAGGTGCTTACACTGTTACACATGTTATGTAAAGTATTTGGCTTGTCAAATTTGGATATCTTTTCTGTTGATCTTTGGGTCAAAGTCTCTTATGAGATCCCTTGATTTTAGATATATATTTGATGCACAGAGTCTATTACTTGATTCTTTTTATATCTGGCTGCGTTTGATCTAGCTCCCTTGTCTGACTGGTGTCCATTATGAATTGCTTGATTTAGACCATTTAGTTGAATATTTATTCAAATAATTTTTCTGGGGAATATTGCTTGATTTAGTTCAATATTTATTCAAATTTCAGAATGAAGAGAAAACATACTCCAAATGAAATGCAAAACATTACTAGCTTCTTTGCTAAAAAAAATCCTACTCCAACTTCTCTTCCACATCCAACACAAAATGAACAAACTATAACTCCACCTCAACAAAGTGAGCAACTTTCATCTCCATCTCATTATTCAACTCAAAATTCCCCTCAAAATGAACAAGGCCAATGTTCTCCTAATGCCCCAATCTTTGGAGAAAGATTAAGTGAACATGAATTTGCTAATCTTCCACAAGATCCAGGAAAGAGGAGAAAAATGAGTCAATTTCATAAAGATGATAGAGATTTAGTGAGAAGAATTTACATTCAAAGAAAGCCTTGTCAGCCCAAAGACTTTACATTTCCTCAAACTTCTATTTTTGGCAAAAATCGTCGCTTTTGTGCTAAGTGGTTTGATACTTGGACTTGGCTTGAGTATAGTGTGGAAAAGGATGCTGCCTATTGTTTCCCTTGTTATCTATTCAAGGATGAAAATGCCTTTGGAGGTGATGCTTTTGTTAGTGATGGTTTCAAATCATGGAATCGATCGGATTTAATAAGAAAACATGTCGGTAAACACTTGAGTGCACATAATAATGCTGTTTTAGCTATGGATTTGTTCAAGAAACAAAATTCAAGCATCACACAAGCCTTAACAAAACAAACCGCTGAGAGTACAAATGCATATAGGACGCGACTTGAAGCTTCAATTGAATCTATCCAATGGCTTTTACTCCAAGGGTTGCCTTTCCGTGGTCATGATGAAAAAGAAAGTTCCTTAAGAAGAGGTAACTTTCTTTCACTTTTATCCCTTATTTCCAAAGGTAATCCTGAATATTCTAAAGTTGTTTTCAAAAATGCTCCTAGTAATTGTCAACTTACTTCTCCTAAAGTCCAAAAAGATATCATAAATGCATGTGCAAAAGAGACCACTAAAGCAATGCTTGAAGATATTGATGGTGGTTTATTTTCTATCCTTGCTGATGAGTCCGCTGATGTTTCTGACAAGGAACAATTGGCTCTTTGTTTGAGATATGTTAATAGAAAGGGAGAAGTGTGTGAGCGTTTACTTGGTATTGTGCATGTTGTAAACACTGCTTCTTTGACTCTCAAAACTGCTATTGAATCCTTATTAATGGAGCATTCTTTGTCTTTCTCTCAAGTACGGGGTCAGGGTTATGATGGGGCAAGTAATATGCAAGGTTCTATTAATGGCCTTAGGACTCTTATAGAGAATGAGTGTAAAGAAGCTTATTTTGTCCACTACTTTGCTCACCAACTTCAATTAACTCAAGTTGCACTTGCTAAAAAGAATTCAGATTGTGCTTGGTTATTTGTTGATGTACTTGCACCTCTCTTGAATTTTGTGGGGGGTTCACCAAAAAGGAAAGAGTTTCTTCGTGAAAATCAAGCTCAAAGAGTGGTGGATGCATTGTCTCTAGGTGAACTTGAAACGGGTTCAGGTTTAAATCAAGAACGTGGATTAGGTAGACCTTGTGATACTCGTTGGGGATCTCACTTCAAGACAATCTTGAATGTACTTGATTTATTCCCTGTAATCCTTGGTTCTCTTGAGGATATTGCAAAAGTATCTGATACAATAGATTCTAATAGAGCTCAAACACTTACAAATCTTCTGATGTCCTTTGATTTTGTGTTCGTGGCACACTTGATGGTTAGTATATTTGCGATAACAAATGCTTTGAATGTGGCCTTACAAAAGCACGATCAAGACATTGTGAATGCAATGGCCATGGTTAATGTAACCAAGACTAATTTGCAAAAAATGAGAGATGAAGGATGGGATTCTCATATGGAAAAGGTAATTTCTTTTATTGGTGACTATGACATTGCAGTTCCAGATATGGAGGCTAAATATGTTGTTCCCGGGAGGAGGTTGTTTAGAGGTAAATGCCCACAAGTGTCCAATCTACATCATTTTCGAGTTGAAGTTTTTTTTGGTGTCATTGATCTTCAATTGCAAGAACTTGAAAATCGATTTCCCGAAATAACTAAAGAACTACTTGTGTGTATGTCTTGTTTGAGTCCTGTGGATCGTTTTTCTAAGTTTGATAAGGAAAAATTGATTAAGCTTGCAAAATTCTATCCTAATGAATTTCCAAGTTCAGAATTGATAGTCTTTGGTCATACACTTGATAGTTACATTTGTTCTGTTAGAGGAGATGAAAGGTTTTGGAATTTGAAGGGTCTTAGTGATCTTTCAATCAAATTGGTTGAAACGGGATTGTCTGAAACTCATGATAGGGTCTATTTACTTTTGAAATTGGTGTTGCTTCTTCCTGTCGCAACGGCAAGTGTGGAAAGAGTATTTTCTGGCATGAAGCAAGTGAAAGACAAACTACGAAATAGCATGGGAGATCAAATGTTGAATGATTGTTTAATTACTTATTTGGAGAATGATTTGTTTTTGAATGTTAGCATGGAAGATATCATGAATCGATATCAAAACATGAAAACTCGTCGAGAACTATTTTAATAAGTTTGCATTACTATTTAGTTGTCTTTTGTAGTATTATATGAACATTTGGTTGTATTTTGTACTGTTTGAATATTTGGATGTATTTTTTAGTACTATTATTTGGTTGTTTGGTAAAAAATTTTTTTTAACATATTTGATTATCGATTGTGACTCACCAGTCGGAAAATCCTGGGTCCGCCACTGTTACTAATGTCTATGTGTCCCAAAAAGCTATTAATTTTTAACTTATTTTCTCTTGATTTATCCAAGTCAAGTACATTTGCTTTATAATTTATCTTCAATACACTATGTATACATCCATATTCCATGACACGATTTTTGTTGCATTGTTGAACCAATTGTTTGATATTTTGATGTCTACGATTAAATCTACATTTGGATCTTCTATATTCTTCCATACATTTGTCGAAAGGCCCACTAGAATCATTACACATATATATAGTACTACTCTTACCTCTAGAAATTGTGTTCTCGAGTACATGATCTAATAATCTAATTATTAAGCATATTTCAATTCATGTATTTTTTAGAGCGGCTTTAATAATACGTAGAGCACAGATTTTAAAAGGTAGTATATTTCTCCACTGGACAATTAGGCCTTTTGTCCCATCCCAAATTATGTACATACAAGTTGATAAACTCACAAGTCCAGATAAAAAAAAAAGGTTGGCCCAATGCCCAAATATCAAATAAACCATTCAAAAAGCCCATTTAAAATAAAATCCAACGAATCATACCAAGGGTCAGGATATAATGCAGAAAAATCAACGGACAGAAAATCAAAAGACAAAGACACCCCCTAAAATTCGTTTTGAAAAAATAAAAATAAAAAACGTTATCCAAGGAATTGAAGCAAAAGAGCGCACTCTAGGAAACACACAGCAAAGAAGAGAGAGAAAATAGCAAAAATGGCAGGAACAATTGGGTGTGGAATGAGGGCGGTGGTTTTAGAGGGGAAGAAATCGTCGTTTTTTGGTGGTTTTCCGGTGAATACTCCGTCGACGGCGGTGTGTTTTCCGGTCGGAATCAGCCGGAAATTAGGAGGAATTTCGGCGTGTGCTACGACTCCGTCAACAACAAGGAAGCCGAGAGGAATAATGAAGCCAAGACCAATTACTCCTGCTCTTCAAGAATTTGTGGGTGCTCCGGAAATTTCTAGAACTCAAGCTCTTAAGGTTATCTGGGCACACATCAAAGCCAATAATCTTCAGGTCATCTCTTTCTCTCAGATTATTATTTTTTAATTAATCAATTTTTCTGTGTAATTTTTTGCGCAATTTTAGTAATTATGGTGCTGGTTAATACCCTTATTTGTAATTAACTGAATTACCCGAACTAACTTGAACTGAACTGAACTTATTTTAGTTGTAAATTACACGCCCTTGTTTACTACTTAACCCTTATCTTTAACTTATCTGAACTTAATTGGAAGTAGGTGAACAAAGCACGGCTGAGTTATGTTTTTGTTTTATCACATGCTAAATGCAAACTACTTATAATATGTTTGGGATTAAGATTTTAGAGGTATAGCTTAATACTCTTACCAAGGAGGTTATCAGAATCAAGCTTAAAATGTTAAGTATATTTTAAATTTATTAAGACTAGAATAGACCCGGTCTACAATAACTTATCGTAGACCCAACCTTCTAGTATACCATACGAAATGTGATTATATCATACGAAATGTGATTATATTATTACAAAAGTGATTATATCATCTTGAAACTATTATGTAAATGTATCACTCAAAAAGTGAATTTATCATTATAAAAAGTATCAAATAGTAAATTACATCATTCAAAAGATGATTTTTAAATTTTATCATCCTAAACATAATTATATAATCTCATTAATCATTATGGTTTAATATGAGATCAAAATATGACTCACAAAAATATAATTATATCATCTAAAAAAGTGATTATATCATCCAGAATGTGATTATATTATTTGAAAGTGTCAAATTTTGGGTCTACAATAATTTATTGTAGACCGGGTCCATACAAGACCAACTGTTTTAAATTTCCCGTGTTTACATGTTTGGATGGTGAATTTTATTGTTATGCACTAAGTATATGTTTGTATTTTGATGCTATCAAATTCGACTAATAAAGGATAAGACAAAGCTACAAACAATAGCCTCATTTAATCGCATCTGTTTGAGTCATTTTATTAGTATGGATTATGGATTGTTGGGATTCGTAATGTCGAATTACTTGATATGGAATTTCTTGTAGGAGAGTATGTTTGGTTTGAAGAGAAAGAGTTGCGATTCAATGATAAGAGGGTTTATATATTGCACATGAAAATCTTATCAACATAAAACAGTGAATCTAAATGCTGGTTATAAAGTCATACTTTGTACATTATATGAGTGGAGATGTCCGTATCAGGCTAAACAAGGGAGGCTTCTGTAGTTCTGTTTATATGTGCACCCTGCATCCATTCAGATGTAATAATCCATACATTATCTTGATAATTTTTTGTCGCATATCTTGAAATAGTTATGGTTCGGTGTCATAGAGTGACGAGGGAGAGGTGATTGTTAGAGTGGTTCGATTATAGTAAAGGCTCTTTTGGTAAAATTACTAGATTAGTATGAAGAAAAGCAGTAGTAGTACTAAGATGCTTATGCCTTACATGTTTGGCTGCTTGTGATCTGTGCCAGTCCTAACTGCTAAGATGCTTATGCAGCTAAAAGCTTGCTGGTTATCTTATGTATTGAATCTCCAATTAGCAGTAATAGTGTTTCCTGCTGTATGTGTATTTCAATAACATGAAGTTTTATATCGTGTTTAGGATCCCAATGACAAGAAAGTCATCATATGTGATGAGAAGCTGAAGAAAATATTTGCTGGAAAGGAACGTGTGGGATTCCTCGAGATCTCAGGATTGATCACTCCACACTTGCTGTAGCTTTTCAATTCTATTCAGCAAGGAATCGTCACTGAGGCAGCTATGTACTTAGCATTTAGTTTTTAGTATTTTGTAGAAAGTTGAGCTGCAGAGCTTTGCATTAGATGTGCCCTTTTTGCTGCTTTTGGGTTTTTAGCGTTTTTTGCTAAGTTTTGACTTGCAACTCAGTGTATTCGCTACTCCAGGTGTTTGTTTCTTTTTCAGACTACGATCAAGGGATTTAGGTATTTGGAAGATAATTAGATGTTCAAGCCTTTTCTGTTCAAATCCAGGGACATCATATTATTTTGAAATGATCAAGATTATTAGTCTAGTACAGTATTCTCTTAAGTTCTTTGCTGATCATTTTCATGCTTAATTTCTTATTCTTTTGTGACTTTAGTCCCAAATCTTGACCAAGTGCCACCTCTGCTAAAGTTTTAAGCCTTGGTTAGGGACTCAAGGTGCATTCTTTCTTTCACGTATTAGTTTTAACTCTGCAAGTAGCTGTGATCTAGAATTAGTTTAAACTGAAGGTAAGTTTAACAGCACAGCAAAGGAAAAAAAGACGAGGTAAACTCAGAATTCAGAAATTTGCAGCTGATATCTTCTCCATGTCTCTGCAGAGGACTGATTCGTTTACACCGGAGGGTTAGCAACCTTTTTTTGCGTGATTAGCAGGCTTAGTCAGGCTCATCCGCTCCGGGCTAGCCAAACATTTTCCCCTTTGTAGAAGTATCAAGTCAGACTACTAGTATATCAATAGAGCTCTAATTCAAGTCTCAGAAAACATATTTTTTTCTTCTCCCAGATACATGGACATGCAGGAGTGCAGGACATCACATTATATTTTTATGGCTGTCAGCTTAAGTTTTGTCGTTAGTCTACATAGATTTTGCTGTTTAACTCAGGCTTATATTTGATTAGTGAGAAACATTCTCCCTTAATCATGCTTTTTATTCCTAATCTCAAAGACTACCCCCACGATGTGAACCAATTGCGCGTTGTTTAGACAGATGGCATGATTAGAACTGATTAACTTAGATCTAAGATCGCTAGATATAGCCTAAAGAAGCTGAAAAGTATACTTTGGCTTTGATTACATACAAAAGTAAATTAACATAAAGTAAACCACACACATTTAGCCCCTTCCTCTTACTTAGACTTTAATCCCTTTACTAATTGTGTATGGCAGGCAGCCGTATTTTCTCGAGACAATCCCAGTTGTACTTGGAACCTTATATTTGGTAACTTTTGGGAAATTTCTTATTAAATATGGTTTTGTCATATTAGTGACCTGTGATTAGTGATTGGAAGAAAATTAAAGGTGGAAATGAAGCTGCTCTTCTCTTGTCAATTGTCACTTTGCGTCTTTGCATATGGGAGTCATCATAACACTCATGATATATGGAGTTAAATCTCTTTGTTGATTGGCTAATTTGATTTCTTAATATGATGATTTGAATTTTGTGAATCAATATGAATTCTTTTTAGACTCGATCTTGTCGGTTTAGTTCAGGTCGTTACAGGTTACTCCTGTATTTTAATCCTATTTCTAGTAGGCAAAATAAGTAAATTTATAGCTCTCCAAGAAGTAACATAAGTAATGCTATAATTGCTTATGAGCAAAACTAAAACTACATTCCTTATTCATGGTCCCCCCGAAATTTTCTCAGATTTCTTTGGTAAACCAAGAAGCCTTTATAGAGCACTCCATCTTATAAAGCGAGGTGAGCTTGATATTTTAGAGGTTTAATTTGCCGTACATTGTTGAACGCATTATAAAGCTCAACATGTACTTTTAAGTAAACCAAGAATTTATTAATACACAAAAAATCACCTTAGTAAACGCTTCAAACCTCAACATGTATACTCATTATATAAATAAATTCTTGAGTCTCATCTACAAATTTATAAATTTTATAAATTTCAAATCAATCAATCATACTTTTCGTTAAACACCATCACATATTTATAAGCTAAATAATTAGCCTAAAAATCGGTAAACAAATTCTAATCTAACTAGGAAACTAACTCTAACTTGTAAAGATAATATTTTGCAAATATGATCTTTAAAGTTAAGCTTATCTTATACTAACCGAATTAAACTAACAAAAATATCCTAGTAAATTCGGTCATCTAATAATAAACTAAAAATAACAATAAAAATAATTATAATAACAATATTGATGCCTTGGAACCGCATCACATATTTTATGCGACATATAAGTGAAGAGTTAAAAAGATGTAGTTTTCATTTTACACTCGAGTATACTTTAGGCAAATTATCCTCCGGTTTACCCTAGATGGTGAGGAGAATGTGGAAAAGATGTTGATCATAACCAGATAGGATTAATAGGAGTGTATTCCTTATAAAAAAAACTAGCAAAAACCAATGGCCCTTATTATTTTCTACCCTCTATGTGTAGGTGTAATTTCATACCTTAATGGAAGACATTAGTGCAAGCAAATACCAAACAATAATTTTTTTCAAAAAAGTTATGGCTAGCTAGGTCATGTTTGAGTCAACCATCTGTATACATGATTAAACTTTGTCCAAAATTCTCAAGCTATAACCCTTTAGGGTGACGCAGACATCACTTTGCCTTTTTTTTTTTGTTTTGTTTTGTTTAATTTTTTTTTTTATAAGTCCTATTGCATGAAGCAATATCATTTCATACAGCTTATAATTAATTAATTAATCATATAGCTTTCTTGTTGTATTAGATTAAGTGATTAACTAATCAAATACATTAAAGTTAAAACATTGCCTTATATACTAATACTAATACATCTACTCCCTTTAGTTCAATCACTCCAACTAATCATACCTCTTTCATATTTTCCACCCTTCAAATATAAACCAAAAAAACATACAATTATAAGGTATGAAAATCATCCCGCCTGAAAAATCATGCAAAAAATCCAATTATTTTTTCTGTGCAATGAATGAACCAAACCCACTTCGTAGAAGTAAAAAAATAGCCAAATGTTTCAAAGAAATGCCATTTATAGATGACCAAGAACATGTTTTGGTGTTAAGCAGTCTTTGGAACTTAGCCATGAACCAACCAAATGATCCAGAATTTCCTTCCCTTGGGATTTTCCAATGCATGTCCAACTTTATTCTTAAAGGTCTTAATCATAAAGATTGGCTTCTTAAAGATCAAAACATCTATATACCCTATTATGCAGCTCATATAATAGGGTCATACACTATGAACCAGCCTAAATTTGCAGAAAAAGCAGCAAATTCTGGTGTAACTCCTCCTCTGTTGGAGCTTCTAAGAGGTAAAATCAGTTGGGTTGAGCAACGTGTAGCGGTTCGTGCACTTGGGCATCTTGCAAGCCATGATAAGTCATTCAAGAAGCTCAAAGATTATGAAGGGGAGATAGTTAAATTGTCCATGAAGATAGCTTCTAGTTGCTTAGAAGTTGTATATGACAGTTTTGTCAGAAAAGCAGAATCAGAAAGGTTGAAGTATCAGTGTGATTTGCTCACAAGAGGAGTTGGAGGGTTCGAGTTTGAAAATCGAAAGGCGGAAGAATGGGCTAGTCAGCTGCAGTGCTGGTGTCTTTCTCTGCTAGACTGCTTTGTAAAGAGAGAAAGAGGCATAAATCTGATATGCTGCAATCAGAGTTTTCTGAAAGATTTAAGTGTGATGTGGGGTGGTTTAGCTAAAAAGAAATCTCCTGCAGGTATTGGTCTTATAAGAAGTTTGTGTCATTCAAAAACTGGAAGACTTAGTGTTGCAAGTTCAAAAGAAGTCATTTTAAGCCTTTGCAATACAAGCCGATCCTCGGATGATTGGCAGTACATGGCTATTGAATCCCTGTTGCTAATGCTCAAGGACTCGGATACACGGTACAAAGTAATAGATCATACAGTTCTTTATCTTAAGGATTTGGTAGAAATTAGGAGTGTTAAGGGGAGAAAAAAGGTTGGGGAGATGATTACACAGGTTTTGTTGCAAGATTATGGGAAGATTAAGTATGGTCAGTTGAGATTAAGTGAAGAAGCTGAAAAGGCATTGGAAGAAGTATGGGATGTTAAAGTTGACAAGAGGAAAAGAGAGAAATTGTTAGGTGATGATGAGATTAAAGAGAGGAAATTTTTGGCAACCCAAATGAAGAAAGAAGGGAATAAGTTATTTTGGGAAGGGGATATTGAAGGAGGTTTGTGCAAGTATACAAAGGCCTTGGATTTGTGCCCTTTAAAGTATAGAAAAGAGAGGATTGTTTTGTTTAGTAATCGAGCTCAATGTTATTTGCTCCTTAAAAGGCCAGAAAATGTAATTAGTGATACAACAAAGGCGATATGCTTGTCGAGTAGAGGTAACAACAACAACAACAATCCACATAGCAAAAGCCTTTGGAGGAGATCACAAGCTTATGATATGTTAGGATTCGCTAAGGAAAGTTTGATGGATTGTTTATTGTTCATTCATTGCAATAAGAATTCTAAGTCCAATGGAAGGAAGCGTTACAATGTCCCATATTATGCAGCTCGTTTGATAAGTAAACAGACTCGCGCTATTTGGCTCTTCACTGGTCTTGATTCTGCTTCTCAGTGTGATCATCTTGAAGAAATAATTCAAGAATCAGATGATGGTAAGTAGCTAAGATATATTTTGTTTTGTTTTGTTTTGTTTTGGGGACAGGTTAGCTAAGAGCAAGTTAATAATAGCCATATGTTTATGGAATTTTGTTGATTTTGGTCGAAAAGATGGTGCATTTGATTCATTAGGTATAATGGGTTCAATAATTGGACTTTATAATATTAATTTAGCAAAGTGGATTTTTTTGTTCCTAATCTATGTAATTCCAAATTATCCCTGCTTTTCTAGCTCTTTTTGTTGTTTTTTTATTGATAGTATTCTGCTGTAATAAATTTGTGAGATTTCTAGTCTTGTAGATTAGACATTCCTGTTGAAAGGTCAAAAGTGCGAATAGAGCTGTCGATTCGGGTAAATGGGTCGGGTTTGGGTCGGATAAGAGTAGGTCCGGTAAACTCGGGTCGGGTCAATTCGGATTAATTTCATAATCAATGCGGGTCGGGTTTGGGTTGGGTCATGCTTGAGTCGGGTCATACTTCTTATCGGGTTTGGGTCGGGTTTAGGTCGAGTTAATAACAGGTCGGTTACATTCAGGTCGGGTGAACAATAGGTCGGGTTTAATTCGGGTTTTCACGGGTTAGGGTAATTCTCGGTGCTCTTCTCTTGTCAATTGTCACTTTGCATCTTTGCATATGGGAGTAATCATAACACTCATGATATATGAAGTTAAATCTCTTTGTTATTGCACCTAAGAACTCGATCATCCTGCAAATCATCCGATTTTTTAATGTGATGGTTTGAATTTTATGAATACACTCTTGTCGTTTAACTCAGTGGTAAAAAACTAAAAATCGGCAAAAAGAGTTTTCTAGTAGGCAAAATTAGTATGATGTAAATAAATAGTTGTCCAAGAACACAAAATCACCATAGCTTAATCAGTTTAAATCTCCATCCTACATTCAGGTATAATTTTACCCTCGAGCAACATTGTGCTCCTGACCACTTTTTGTGTGCATGATTCAAATCCTCATGGAGGGTTGTTTGTTGATGAGCAGGTCTATAAGTGTAAACTCAAACCTTATTGGAGGACATTAGTGCAAGCAATACCAAACAATAATACTTTCAAAAAAGTTATACCTAGCTAGGTCTCGTTTGAGTCAATAATACAATCTTCCTTAGTTTCCTAAGCCTACACAACTCACTGTTGCTAGCTAAGGAAAATAAAGATAAGTCATAGAAATAATATCCTAGGAAATCTAGATATTCACTAAATCAAATACGGAGTAATATTTTCTCAATATATCTTAATCGTAACAATCATCTGGGCACAGCTCCTTAACAATAAACGTTTTTTTTTTTTTTTTTTTTTTTTTTTTTTTTTTTTTTTTTTTTTTTTGGAAACAACCATAAACGTTTTTATAGTTTGCCCAAATTAAAGTGAATGATTAATTTTAGGAAGGTGATAAACTTAATAGATTTTATTTATTATTATATTTTAAATCAAATGCCAAAGAATACGATTCACACAATAAATGCTTGATCCGAATAATTTATTTTTTAGTGGGTTTCTGGTTGTCAAATCAGCAAATGACAAAGTAACCCCAAGACAAAAGTAACTCCTGACTGACCTAGTAACCCCTGACTAAGTAATCCCTGACTGGCCTAGTAACCCCTGACCTATTAACCCCAAGTAACCCCTGGCCGCCGACCTAATAACCCGAAGTAACCCCTAATCGACCTAGTAACCCCTAACCGACCTAGTAACCTCTAGTAACCTCAAGTAACCCCTAACCGACCTAGTAACCCCCGACCTAGTAACCTCTATTAACCCCAAGTAACCCCCGACCTAGTAACCCCTAACCGACCTAGTAACCCTCGATCTATTAACCCCAAGTAACCCCTGGCCGCCGACCTAATAACCCGAAGTAACCCCTAATCGACCTAGTAACCCCAAGTAACCCCTAACTGACCTAGTAACCTCTAGTAACCTCAAGTAACCCCTAACCGACCTAGTAACCCCCGACCTAGTAACCTCTATTAACCCCAAGTAACCCCCGACCTAGTAACCCCTAACCGACCTAGTAACCCTCGACCTATTAACCCCAAGTAACCCCTGGCCGCCGACCTAATAACCCGAAGTAACCCCTAATCGACCTAGTAACCCCAAGTAGCCCCTGACCGCCGACCTAGTAACCCCTAACTGGACCACCTAGTAACCCCTAAACGGCTCTAGTAATCCCTTACCCACCACCAACAAAAAACTACCACCAACAACCACCACCAACGAACCACTACCAACCTAAACGCCTTGCCACTAGCTCCTAACCCACAAACAAACCCCGATCCAACCAAACCATTAAAAAAAAAATCAAATCAAACAAATACGTTAAAATGTTAACAATGGTTTCGAATATCACTTCAAATATGGCTAAAAAGGCCAAATTCGACCATGAAAATTCTAGATCTAGAGTTTTCATGGCTGAATTTGGCCTTAAAAACTTTGAACTTGTTTTCCAACAACGGAGTCGATCACCAAACCACCACTACCCTCCCAGTGAAACCACTACTTTCGATGAACGAACCATGAAGACGACTATTGATAACGATTGCAAAATTTGTGTTACGTTCTCTGAGAAAATGAGATGAAGCTTATGGCTTGAAGAAGAAGAAAAGAGGAGAGAGAAAGAGAATAGAGAGGAGAGAGAAAGAATTTAAAAACTTTGTGTTTATTTTATTCCTTATTTATAAAATGTTCCAAGAATAATTACAATGGATTATCACACAATCAAATCTATACATACTCAATACTTATTTTAGGAAGGCAAGCAAAGTATGTGTCCAAATTTTTGCTTACAAATTTATAATCACAAATTTTAGTTGGTCCAAATATGCATTCTAAACTATTATATTAGACGGGCAAAAAGTGGTCGATTGGCAATTAAGGAGAGAAGCAAAGAAATTAAACAAGGGGAACCTAACATAACATGAGATGGGGAAGAGGCCGGCAGCATCAATAATGTTATTTTGTGAAGATATGATGCTAGAAATCCTGAATAAACTCCCCCATAAAAGCCTAATAAGGTTGTGCACTGTCTGTAGACAGTGGTTTGATATGATCTCAAACCCTCGACGTCCCAATAGTTGCTACTCTTTAAGGCTTAAGTTAACCTTTGTTGGCTTCTTCTACAACAACTGTAGTATTATTAGGCGTAGGAGTCAAAGCTACGGCTTTACTTGCAATTGGCTACCCTTAATTAATAATCCTCTTCCTGTTCTTCCAATAGACGACGTCCATACTTTAATAATCGACGCCTCGTCCAACGGCTATCTCTTAGGCCACCATAAACCTTACTGTTACTTTGTAACAAACCCTATCACTCAACAAACACTCCACTTGCCCGTGTTAATATCACCACAACCAGGTCTTTTTACGAACAATTACAATCGTATTTTGGTTGGCTTTCATTAGCTTGTGCTCACTTCACTGTTGTACTCGGCCTTATAATTTCTATATCTACAATGGAGGTTCGAATACTCTCTTCCAATATGTTTCAATGGAGACGTCTCAGACTCCAAGTTATAAATCGGCCCAACCCTACAATAATCAACGTTAAAATGCCAATTGATATTACATCTTCTTGCCATACCCGACCTGCTGTTGTACATGATGGTGTTTTCTATTGGATAATTAACAGTAGAAATTTGAGCATCATGGTAGCATTTGAACTCAATAGGTTGCAATATTGGGTCATGGATTTGCCAAGTACCGACTACAATAACCTTATGGGCGTCAAGTGACTACCATTTTTGGTTATAACGAAATTTTATGTGCTTATGAGAATCGTCTTTTCTTTGGATATGGAAGCCTAAAGAAGAAGGCGATTTTAGTGTACATGTATGAGGGAAATCCTTTCAAAGATGAAGGTTCATGGGTGTTGAGCTATACAGTACCTCTACAAGTACTCGCTCCTTCAAGTGGAATGGTGTTCCTTAAAGGATTTCATCCCGATAATCCCAATATTTTCTTCTTCATTCACAATACCATGCTCATGTCCTATGACCACGCTAAAGGTCAATTCTTGGTTGTTGATAGTCGACAGGATTACCATTTGTTTAGCTCTGAAACATTTATCTCATATCACTTGTCTCCATGGCCACATTCTCTTCCTCGTTTACCTCAACATCCATTATTTCCAGAACATCAATAAGCAATAAGGGAACATCAATTTATCTTTTGTATTCGCAACATATATATACTCGTATATGAACGAAACCCGCTTTTTTCGTGTCCGCCTGTCCGGTTCATATCATATTATCGTGTTATATGAAATAATAAATTTATCAAAATTTCTATGATTTATTAGGATTTTTTTTTTCTTAGTTGGGTTGAGTCATGTTAATACTTAATAAATATATTATAGTTGTATTTTGTCCACGACATTTTTATTTTAAAAAAATATTATTTTTCTAATTAAAAATAGTGAAATGACCGAACAAATAAAAATCAATAATTGATTAACAATTTTCAATTGGAAATTAGCACAGTACAACTTAGGGATTCAAATTTAAGAGAGGAGATATTAAAATTAATGAAAACAAATAAATTACGTCAATTGAATTTTCAAGGTTCGTTCCTTCAAATTACGATTTGCTTTGAGCCTTAAATTTGATGGAGCAAATTAAGAAGAATGAGATTGAAGATGAAGGGGAGAAGAGACGAGAATCTTGGTGAATGAATGAAGAAAATTGAAGTGTTAATGGTTTTTTTTTTTAAACGGTTCAATATATATTACTTTACAATACATAACTTTTACATTACAAAACAATACACGACATGTACTGTAGACTCTCCCATATGATTGATTATAAAATATTGCGTTTATTTTTTTCAAATGTCATTTCAATAAACCTCTTCATATTTATCATCAAATTGTTTAAAAACTAATTATTTGACTTTATGATAAGGTAATAGATTTGTATTTATCAATCTTTTGGGTTTAATTGTGTTACTCTTTATTATAATGATATTTAAGTTAGATTATCTTATAATAAATAATCTTTTGGGTCATATGTATTTGCTGTTGTGATTTGTTTGGTAAATGTAATAGCTGCTCATAATTTAAACATTCCTTTAAACAATAAGCATTTGGTATTAAATTAATAATTTGTTTAATTAAATGAGTAGTGTAGGAAGAGTATAATTTTACGCTAATATATGAATGAAATACATATTGTGTAGATTGATTTAGACTTTTAAAATACCAGGAAAAATCCTAGAATACAATTGTATCTATTAGACATTTTATTACAACGTTTGTCATATTGATTTTTTTAGGCCTTTTTTTAATTTCCTTTTTTCGATGTTATTTTCTCCGTAACATATTTAAATTATAAAAATAAATACTACTTAAACATGTAGCTACAGTAACAATTCTTAAAGTTTCAAAATACAACTCATTAATTTATAATTCCGTAACCCGGCCTGAAGTGGT